AATTTCTTGTGGTAGTGTAAGGTAGTATTAAGGTTCAATAATATTAACTTATATAACCATTGGAATTTGTTATTGATACCTTTCACTTGATACCAAACCTGTTGATATCTCAAACTTGGTTCCAACATAGCTTGACACCTAAATGGGTTTACTAGCTATTGATATTCTAAGTGACAAGCGTTCACCCCTGGACAATTGGACATTAACATTCCACCCTCTATGAGTGACAGTTTTAAGCCTACGTCTTGGAGTTTGTAATATATCTTAATTAGCAATTTTTTGGTAAACAAGCTATTAAATCATAGAGAAATAATTTCTCTATAATCCAATCAGAAACTTTAAAAGTATGGGGTGACTTAATCTAGACACACCCCCATTACCTTGAGTATAATAGGAAAACACCCCACATCACTGATACAGAGAATATCAGAGAAGATCAGTAGAAGTATAGATTAAGAGCTGACTCCACTCTAAAGGTTCTTTAACATCTGAGAAACCCGGAGTTGCTCAATTGTAAATATGTATAGTAGTTAATGCTGAATAAAAGCTTTGCAGTGTACAAAAAGTAACTGTGTTATCTACTCATTAAAAGTCATTGACCAACCAACTCCTAATATTTCATGCTGGAAGCTCACAATATTTCAGTAGGTCCTATGTTGTCTTTGACAATACAGTTATGGTGGATACTGTCTATAATAAATATAGGCCTAAGGGAATTTTCCTGAGCGAAAACATCCGTAAAAATCTATTCTTCCCTGCATTTTTCTCACGATGCCATATTCAAATGTTATATAATACAAATCCATATTCAAAGTTGATGAGAACGACCCAACAATGATGTGATAAGTCTCTGATCCTCTCTCTGTAATAGACAATGCAGTGTTGTTGGATATTGTCTATAATAAACGAACATTTCCACAGCGACAAATCGATGAAAGAGCATACTCTACATATTATTTTTTTCACGATGTCATAATTGAAATGTTGTGAAGGTCTTAATACGTTTGCACCACTTCCAGAATGTACTTACAACAACGTTGCTGGTATATTTCGCATGAGAGAATCTCCTATTAGTAAGTGGGGCTTCGGTCACGTTACCTCTTCACCGTTTCTGAGTGTGTCTGATGTAGCAGCGAGAGAGAGAGCAGCTTTGCTCAGTCAGCTAATCTGGAGGTAGCCACTGTGTGAACTGTGGAGATCTATAAGTCCCCGGTTTAATTCCTATCAGTGGCTCTCCCTATGTTTCAGCTGGAGGGCTGAAATACAAGTTGTTTGCAATAGCGCATCGCCTTTCGGATGAGACTGCACGTGGGCTTAAAGAACGCAGTAGGCCTACACTCTTCGAAAAAGAGTAGGGGATTGTCTTCCGGTGTACTGCCCAATCACCACCAGAAGGACTGAAAAATAAGTTTTCTTATATACTTTCGTGGGCTATCCTTGGTGTTTACACCGAATAAATCAAATCAAAATCAAAAGATGTAAACAAAACCATAATTGCTGTTTCTGTATTTTTTACGTGAAATTTCTGTTGGCCAGGCCTACTAGGATAAAAAAAATTGTCAGGCCGAGGGATATAAAATTAAATGTTTTGAAATAGGTATTATGAAATATGCAAATTTTGAATATGCAACAATTTCAAATTTAGTAAAGGGCGCCCTCTAGCTATCTAAACTTCATGAAAACTTTCTATTTCCTCCACTGTTTTAATTTTTTTTAAATCTATGTTTGGCTAAACGAAATTTGCAATTTTTCGAACGAACTGATTCTCCAATGTTTTTTTTTTTTTTATTTTAATTTTTTAGTTTCTTTTCGTTTTGTTTTTGTTTTAATTAATTAAATTATAGACTTTTCATTCCCTTTTGACCGCGACATGAATAATGTACAAACACATTGTGCGAGTATGTTCAACCGAGGTTATGCACAGTAACGGATAATGATGATAATGATGATATACGACATACAGTAATCGGTCAATTTTACAATTTGTATTTTGCTTTATTAGGTGTTATTTTAGGTATTTTACCTGTGTTTTTTTTTTTTAATTACAACTTAAAACCCAATTTTTGGTGGTTTTGTGCTCTGTGCCACCTTGTGGAACACAAACAAGATATTCATGTTTCATAGAGCAACTTAAAAACCTTATTATTAAGCCTAACTAATATCTAATACATTCATTAGGTATATAGTTTTGATTCTTGCATAATTCGACAACAGTGCTATAAAAATATTGTTTAACAAGTTTAATTAAAATATAATCGGTACTTTCATGGTGCTGGGGTACCATGCATTATATAAGAATCAACAGAAAAAATGACTAGGTGAAAAATTGACTGAAAATATAGTGTATATAGTCCATAGATTTTGTCGAAAATACCTAACACACATGGGTAAATTGAAAAACAAGCTACAGTAATCAAGATTTAGCACCGCTCCCCCACTCTCACACATCCTTCTCTACCCCCACATCTTTCTCCCCCACATCTTTCTACCCCCCACATCTTTCTCCCACTTTAATATGTTTGCCCACCATATGTATAATATAAAGCATAGCTTGTGTTGAAGACTCTATAGGGTGTTACTCACTTTAAATGCGCTTAGTGTGCGTCCTACCAAATTTTATTGGCGTCTCATATTCGATTTCTTAAATCTTAAATTAACCACGAAACTGGTGGCGCTGTCCATAATGAGAGAGAAATACAATAAGTGATTGTGGCAAGTCTATTAAAATAGACCTAAATTATATGTTTAATAAGTCTTATGCAAGTAATAGTTTACCAATTAACCAGCAGCATAACATGTCATTGACAGGGCCATCCATCCCCCAATATTATAAAGATATACTACTATCAGACAAAAGACAGGGAAATACCTAAAAATACAAAATAAAATTTGAGTAGCTCATTAAATTTTAAATTAGCTCATACAATTTCACGAATTTTTAAAATAAAATGTTTCTATATTAGTAGAAACAATATTTTTTCTCCTGTTTTTGATGGAAGCTAAAACTTCATTTGATTCTTTTAAACGAGCTATTCAATTTTATTTTCCTGTCCTTTGATTAAAATTTAACTTTTCATTTTGTTTTTTAAGACCGGTTTTAATATCTGAAATGGTCGTTACTCCCATCCAAGTGTGAGGTATTTGCACTATTCACTGTCATTATACTATATTGTTATTAATTTTTTTTATTATCATTAATATAATAAATATAATTATCATTATTGTTATTTCTCTCACTATCATCAACGTCATGATCATTATCATCATATGTATAAACTGGATTGAACTGAATACAGTGGAGAACAAGACACATATAACTGTAGTAACAAAACGTAAGCAAAGTTTATTAGGGTCCTTTAGGTCGTCATATATACAGTATAATTTAAATAACATTGTACATCTTAACTGAATATTGGCTTCATCAATATTTCGTGTCAAATATGGTGCTTTTGTTCGCCTAATGGGGGCGCACTATAGCCACTAGTCTCAGACATTTAATTTACTGTTAAATACAGAAATACAGAAGTTGATGCTTACGTAGAAAAACACGGACCGTTATTAAAAAAAACCGTTCACGTTATTAAACTTTACAGATTCTTTGTAAATATCCCTAGTGCGCTTAAAAATGTACTTTTAACAATATAAAATATATATACTTACACCGACGCTTCCAAAATTAATGTCAGTAAAATTTTTAGTTTTCTGTACATTACATACAGGTAGAGTTATCTAATCACTTGTTATAATCTCATATTTTAAATATTATCATAAGCATAAAAGGCTTAATCTTGGCCTGTCTCTTATACACATCTAGATGTGTATAAGAGACAGATATATGATAGCGTATATATTAGAGGTGAAAGTTAATATTCAGCCATGTATTTTCACTTACATCATCTACCGCGTTTCAGCGAAATATTATCTTAACAGAAATATCAAACAGTCATAATCTTACTTCAATTAACTTAAACCAAGTAGGCCTATAATACCAGTTAATGCATGCATATAGTTGTAAAATATAAATTACATTTCTTCCACTAAACCATAGTTAATTTATTTAACAAACATATAATAATAGTAATAATATATAATACATATAACAACAACAATAATCTTAGTAAACATTAAATAGTGATGATGAGATGATGATAAATTTTCTTAAAGACAACTGTGGTAAAAGTCTGAAACCCGTTTAAAATTAAAGAAATTACTGAACTGCTTATTTGCTATAGTGAAACTTCCAATGAGAGGCAGAAGAAAATCATTCTTCTTTTCGCTAATTAACCATTAAACTAAAAAAAATGATTACCAGTAAAATGTAAGTGTCTTACGCAAAAAAATGGGAGCGGTAGTATTTATTCCTCTAGTAATTAGCAAAAAATGATTCTCTTCAAAAATTATACACAAATAAGCCAATTCGTAGTTAGATTTGCGCATGCTCGTATCCATTCAATCAAACATAAACCTATGTTGTATGTATGTCGATTAACCTTCTACAACTAAGAATGGACCTTTCCGCTAAGCCCCGCCCCTTGGATATTGTTGCTAAGGTCCCACAAGACGACAGTGTTAAAACATACGCGAACACGTGCGTTTGTGGGACAACACGTGTGTTTGTGAGACGCGCGCGTATCCCTAGCGCTGTTCTGATTAGTCAGTTGATAAGTTTGATTGACACTCCGGAAAGGTCTATTGACTTATTTAGCATGATTTCCATAAAATCATTACATGCTATCGATGAGAGGCTGATTGTTCAGTTGAATCGAGGCCCTTCCGATTTTGTAACATTCAATCGATTTCATAGAAACTCAATCGATTTTATAAACACCAGGCTTTGAGCTCTGTCCGGATTATCAAAATTTCTTTAAATATGACAATATTTTATGCATTTCACATGCTTTTTTGTTTGTTTTTTTTTTCCAAAGAAAATTTGAAAATCTGGCCAGGGCTGTAGTTAATGTAAATACAACACTATCACAAACAGTATATTTTAAACCATGCATATTGAACAAAATAATTATTGACAATAATATATCTCTGATAATACAGTAATTATAAATAGTATTTTTAACAATAATAGGCCTAACCACTTATAAAAATACCCGCTGGATTTCGATACCTTTTTCGCATAGCTTAAGCCTAAGAGCAGCATGTAATAAATTAGTAATTTTTATCTCAAATTTCACAACTTTGGTTTTAATAGGTTGGAATTAGATCAACAAATCTTTTATTTTCAGTGCAGTACTGTTACCATTGATGTAATTTTCTTCAAAAGAGCTTTAACCCTGTTTAGATTTTAGCAGACAAAATGTGTAGGGTAAAGTGATGTTTAGCAATGTACTATAACATTAGTCCCAGGTATAAAAGGATATGGTACTATAACATACTTCTGACCAAGCGACCTGGACTTTTAATTGGCAATGTGCTTGGCAACTCAACAATACGGTATCTATCTTAGGCATTACTGATGCTTTTAGACAACAGAATGGTAAATCGTTATATTATACTTTCCAAATCAAAACAACGACGTGTCGTTAACATTTCCAAGATAAACATAATCAAAACTAAGAAGCAAACAATCTCATAGGATTACGTCGTCAGAATAGGTTAAGACTGGCCAAGACAGTTTGATTTGGTTAACGCAATAGAAAACCGAAGAGTGACGTCGTGAATGCTGTACACAATATTGTCATAGTTCTCCACGTATGAATTTCGTCTCCCAATACACAGATAGTAAAATAAAAATTAAAAAATTATGCTTTTAAAATAATCATGCTTTCTGTTCTGTTTTCAATAAGAAGATCATTTTCTCTTAACATTGGTTGTTTTTACCACATTTGATTGTAACTTGCGACCACTAAGTCTCTCAGTTTTGCCAGCAGCAAACCCGAAGCGAAATTGAGATTTCGACACATTCTTGTTCTGCGTCTTTGAAGATTCTTCTTGGCTGATAGGCTTTGCAGCCCCTGGTGCTGGTATTCTGGACACTGGAACTTGTTTAACTGGATCACCCACCTCGGAATAGATGGCAGATCTCTGTTCACTGGACGATTGGTCCGCACACAAGTCGTCAAACGAGGAGGTATTCGGCGCTTTGGTTGCAGACGATCGCCTACCGAATTTACTCATCAACTTACTGAATTTCCCTGGTTTCGAGATCTTCTTTACACTCTCTGGTACACCGTATTTTCTAGCGGCTGGTGGTAAAGAATACGTCGTATTGTTTCTCTGGAATTGCGGTCCGGGTGGTAGCTGGATGGAAGCACATGACGAGCTTTGTATGGACTGCCTTGTGCTCTTCAACAAGTCCGGATCGGAGTTACTGCGTAAGTACGAAAATGACCTATCGGTTCGCACACTGTACTCATCAAAGGAGCTGCTTCGTTCAGAATCAAGACTGTCACTTGAATCACGTGCTTCTGGCAAATTCACTCCTCTGTGAGGCGGTGAAATAAACCCGGGTGCTGGTAGGTGTGATTCCGGTAGTCTGGTTGTAGGTGATGTCGGACTCATGGATGTAGGACTTCCAGTCGCAGAAATTACACGTTTTCCCATTTGCGGAGTTGCAACTTTGGAGAATGGTAGCTGTCCGACGTGCGTTCCAGATGTAGGTGTTCGCGGACTGCTCATGCCTAAACTTGCGGTTCCCATTCTTATCGTAACTTTTGATCGCGGTGACGGGGACTTAGGTGGTCGGCCTGTGGCAGTAGTTGGAATGGATCTAACCGTCATCGGTGATTGTGGTGGGTTACTATACGGCACTTGTATTGAGCGTACTGGAGAGGAGGGATTGGAATAGGTAGCACTAAGAGGACGACTCGCAGTAGAAGCCAGTGATGTAGAGGATTCCATTGTGCTATTATTTTCCGATGCCTGTGTATAGCTACTCACACTTTTCTTTGATTCCATACTAGGAGTCCGTGCACGAAACTGACCAGGCTTAGATTTGGTATCAACAGCTAGTTTTGTGTTTCGAGATGGTGACTGTCCTGGTTTGAATACCTTTGATCGATTTGACGATCCGGAACCCCCAAGAGGAGACCCACGTGGGCGGATGTTTGATGGCTTGCTTGTGGGCTTGACATTGGTTTGCTTTTGTTTATGTGTCGGGCTGCTACCGGGTAGAAGACTGTCTGTGCGAGACGATGTTGATTTTTGTGAGCGCTTTGGAGTACTATATACCTTTGAAGGTAATACGACCGTCTTTTGAGTAGCAGATGGTTTTTCTGCCGACACGGCTTCAATGTTAAGACCAAGCTTCGAGCGTCTGTCTGTCTGTGCTTTTGATGCAGCTTGTTTCAAACTTCCTCTTGTGGATGGGGTTCTCCTCAGCTGACTGCCACGGCCGCTCCCTCGTGTAGTGTCACCTTTTTGACCAGGAGACAACATTTTCGTTTCAGACGACGGCGAGGCTATTCTACCTGGCTGAGAGCGCCTAAAGCTACCCGAGCGTGGAAGTCTTGACGTGGGGTGGTTGGGCGAGGATTGCGAGTCCTTTTCCTTTTTGATCTTTGTGGTATGGGCTGTCACAGGTGAGCATCTTGGTGGTGTTTTCTTGTTGGTCGAAATTGACGACTGCCTGCTGCTTGCAGATGAAATGCTTATGTTGGAAAAGGTTGAACAAGTACTATCGACAGATCGACTGCGAGTATGACGCACGTGGCTGGGTTTTACGATTTCTTTCTTTGGAGATGGGGGAGTACCTTTCCTTGCAGATGGAACCCTCAACCTTGATTGTTTCTTTTCCCGAGGCTCTACTGTTTTATCAGTTTGAGGGATGCGGTCATCATTTAACTGAGATCTGGATGGGTTTTTGAAAGAATACGTTCGTTTCAGGGTTTCAATCTCATTACTATCAAGTCCATCAAATGTATCACTGTTTACTTTCCGCGGTGAGTTTTGTTTGCTCCGTGAGTGAACAATATAAACGTCTTCATCACTCATTTTATAAACTATGTTACTTTTGTTTTTTCCTCCATCTCTCTGGCCACCAACATAGTTTACTTTACTATTCTCCTCAAATACATCTTGACTTTGTCTTTTATGATATTCGTTAACCTCGTTTTTGTTCTCGTTGTCTTGTTTTTCAGTGTTGTTATTTTCATTGAGAAAGGACGCAATATCTATATGATTTTCATCGTCTGAATAGACACTTTTTGAGCGTAAAGCCTGCAGACCTTTGGCTCGCCTAGTCGGCATTTGTGATGAGGTATCTTCGGTTGACAATAGCGTTTCAATTGCACACCTATCTTCTTCAACTGGCTTGCAAATTTGCTCACCAGTAACAGACGATTTGAAATTATTTTGTTTACCGATGATCACCTGGCCGTCGTGGTCACCTTCGAACTTTCGTTTATTCTCAGGTGATTCCACATTATCAGAAAGATTTATTGGTACAACTAAGTCATTTTTCGTAATAACAGATTTAGTTTGCTCATTCGATTCTTTCCGTCGTCGATATCGTGGCTTGTAGCTACTTTGTTTTGCACTTTCTTTGCGGGGCGATGATTGTATTTCGTGGTTAGTGACTGAAGATTCCACCGCATCTAAAACAGTTTCAATATCAATCTTCTCAAATTGCTGTCGAAGAATATGTTTCTGATCTTGATCGTGTGTATCAGATTCAACTTCGCTTCCAGTAATTTCTAACACAATTTCGTCCTCATTGGTAACGTCTCGAAGTGCACGTTCTACATCAGACGCAACCACTGCACTGCGCGTTCGTCTGTCGAATCGTGTTCTGCGTGGAGAAATAGGCTGGGTGCTATCCCCAATGGCAACGTCTGATTCTGATTTTACAATGGTGTCGGTTTCACTCTCTCCACTTATTCCGCTAATAGTTATTGTTCTGTCATTTTTGCCTATTACAGGTACTTCGTCTACAACCGGATCATCTTGTGCTGTATCATCAGTATAAACAACACTGGGTTTGTCACAACTACTTTGATTTGGCGGAATGTCATCCCTTTCCGCCAATATTTTAACAACATCTATGCTTTCAATATTACTCCACGGTCGTGATATTCTAGGTTTTTGTTCTCGAAGCGTTACACCTGCATTGTCAGTCGAAATTTCATCACCAAGCAATTCCTTTAGACGCTGACGTCTACTCATGACCCTCAGTGCTAAGTCATTCTCAACTCCTTCGACTTTGTAGCGTCTGCGTGCAGGTGGATTTCTTAGCCTAATCGATGGATTTTCATTTTCGGGCTTGGTATTTTTCTCATCGTTAATTTTATTTTTTTCATTATTCTCCTCCGTTTTCTTATCTTGTACAATTCCCGTTCGTTCTCGACTATCACTAGCCTGTAGCTGTGCTGGAGTTTTCTTTGTTCGTTTTACGCTGCGTCGGAAACTACCATCTCGTCTGAAGTTTCCAATCGTAGACTCTTCTTCATTTCCCTGCATCAACAAATCAATGAGGGTTTCTTCTGCCGATGTACTACTGGATGTTCTAATCTTCTTACTCCCAGTATTTGACGTAATTTCCTCCTGGCTGCTGACGGAACCAACATTACTGTTTGTGTCTGAACAAATTCCGCTCGATGCACTACTTATATTATCTTGTTCGGTAGCTTCTGTCGCATCAGGAGCTACTCGACCATCCACTTCAGTACCATTTTCAGAAATGGCGTTCAGATTCTTTTCAAATTTTTGCCACGATCGTCGGATTGAAGATGCTCGTACAAAATTCCCTTGTTGTGGAGTTTCTTCCCCTGGTGTAGTTATCATTGGAGATGACGGCTCGCTGCCGAAATCGCTTGTATCAGATTCCTCACCCGCAGACGAACTAATGCTCCGCTTGTGAAAACCTTCTCGAATGTGACCCAATAGACGGTCAACAATTGCACCGGATTCCCTACCAGAAGGAAGGCTTTTTGTGTGCCGAATCTTCTTTTTATCTTTCCTTTTAGCTTTCTCTTGTTCTTCACGTTGCTTGCGACGGAGTTCCATTCTGTTCTCTTGAATTCGACGTTGTTCATTTTCCTGAAAGATGACAAAAATTTACCCATAAATAATATAAAAAAATAACTGTCTTAGATATTAATTCAAACGAATACGAGGGCAAAAAAACCCAATATGAATGTCATAAGCCAGACTCAACAGACTATGATTGGTCAAGCTTTGCCTGGTTGCGTACCTGCGCATATTAAAAGCCAATTCGTAGTTTGAACTGCGCATGCCAATACCCATAGTCAATCGACATAAACTAATATGTGTATGTCTGTTTATGTCGATTGACCTGGATACAGGCATGCGCAGTTCAAACTACCAATTGGCGTATTAAACAAATGACGTGTCAGACAATTCTATAGCCTGTCACACCAAATCTGATCTAACAATATCATCTGTTGAATACGACAGATAATACTATGGTGTATGTTCAGAGTCCAATGTACCTATATAGCTTTGATTATACCACAGATCATATAGGATCTGTGATTACACATTCCAATCCTAAGACCAAGGACCTGGCCGATTGCTGCCGGCAAAAATCTTTAAATGTATTTACGCAGTATATAGCACCGGATGAAGCTTTTTGGTTTGATAACTTTCATCTGTGTGATGAATTGCCCGAATCATGGGCGTAAATACTTGGCCTATAATAATGTAGTACTACTGCACATTGCATAGAAACCGTCAATCACATTCTAAAGAACAGTATATTATCACCACAACATTTACAATGTGAAAACCGAGGAGCAAGCGTATGTTACGATCTCCGTGGCTTAGCACACACACCACATCCACTAGTTTAGACGTCTGCAGGAGCAGATTTATTTACCACTCATCCCATTTTAAAAAAATAATAAAATCAGAAAAAGAAGTTATTGATCGCCCAAAACACATTAGAGGTTATTTACGGGCGTCTAGAAAACAAAATTTCTCGGACACATACGACAGTGTTGTCTCTCAATTCCCACCTGAAATATCTGGATCCACCCCTGGCTGAGCAATGCAGCCGATCTCTCACCTCAATTGCTTTCTTGAATTTATCGCAGAAAATCTTGAAAACGCCAAAACAATCTTCAAGTTTGAAGGTCGTAGAATCCTCACACAAATATTCAGACAATTTTTTTCTTAACTTTTCAACGTCATCAAGCATTTCTTGCAGTTCATTTAAATCTTCTTTTGCATTCTACAAATTAAAAAAAAGTTAGAACTACTATTTCCCTTAATACATTATACGAAATAGTATACAATCTGTGCACATGGGTGTGCGCATACGAGTGCGCGTGCGTACGTACCTCTCCCACTACTGGTGGCACCACTAGCTGTATATTTGACGTCGCCTCCAGTCACAATTTATATATAGAATTATGGGCCAATACAATTACAAGTTATACAAAATTTTACCTGCAAAAACTCCACCATTTGCTCTTTCACCTCTCGCGTGCCTTCTTCCAGTTGATCACCTACGAGCGTCACTCTCTTCTGCAGTGTCTCAACTTCACTGCTAAGCTGATCAATCGAGAGTCTACAAGATATTGCACAACATTTTTTTAACCTTCTCTCTTTCATTTTACGGCGTTGTTTGTGAGGACAGAAAATATTAAAATGTTTCGTTTTATACCTCCGTGTTCTATCATTTTAATGACTTTAAAAACGATAATGCGTAATTTATATGGATTCAAGTTCATGGGAATTTTTTCTTTGACTTCCGATCTTATGTCAAGGATTGACCGTGGTGTTACTTGTACTCATTAACCGCTATATAGTATCACCCATTAATTGATAGAGCGACTGTGGTTAAATGAATCAATTAATGTAATTGCCAAAACATCATACGTTCTAAATATAGACGAATGTTTCAAACTGAATAGGTCAGGACAATAAAGAGGTCACCATGGGGAGGGATCGCATCACGGGAACGGGTCATCGCATAATCAATATATCATGTCTATATCAGGTTTTATTTAAAGTTGTAACTTCCCCGTTATAATAAAAAAAAACATCATATCGACACATATGAAATTTACTTCGCAACAAGGATAAATCAATTTAATAAGGAAATAACAATAGAGAAAGGAAATAATAATAATACAGTATTATTAATAAACAAATACCAACAACTGAAGCATAGTAATAATACATATCATTTGTCGTCATCATCACCATCATCATTTGCATATTTAAGTATTATACATCAAAACTATTTTAAAACAATTGTGCCATACTAAAGTGTCCGATATATTACGCATGGAGGTTAACTTTTATAATATAAATTTTTTTTTTTTGAGAAGCTGAGGAGAAAAGAAGCGGCAAATATACAGACTTTGATTAGACTTTGACAAAATGACAATAATTAATATGATGACGTAGCCGTCTATGTTATCGTTTTCGTAAGCTTGCGAAACCTCCCTAACACCGGGCCTCAACTAGGTAAATCAATACTAAATACACTCGAGAAGCAATGCGTTAATATACATTCCTGTATAGGCATATTGCTGTCACTTTTCGGTTATTTTCTATAAGCCGACATATTTCGAAGCTAATAAGCATAGAATGATGTTTATCGGTGTCACAATCCACGATTTCTTTATAGTCTCGCGGCCACGTTTAACACCCAAGAGATAACCTTCAGAAGTGACTGAAGTGGTTATAAAGCCATTCCTCTTTAATTTAAAAAATGGGTTATTTATATCGCCGAGTAAACTCCGATTTTCCGATTATTTAACATCTATTATGGATGGCATTCCCTTTAAAGCAAGAAACGCTTTACTTATCGTTTCAACAGAAATAACAGGTTTGTATATCCCGAATTTTTTTTTTATTAAACTCTGACTCTGTGAAAATATTAAGCAGTTTAAAAACTATTCTAGACAATTCAGTGTATGAACATCCTTGCATAAGACATATACGAAACAATTTAATTAGAACAATTAAATTTAAATATTGGCAACAACCAACTCAAAAAAGAGAAAATTCCAACATAACATACCTCGAAGCTTCTTCTAAATTCTTCATTTCGTTTGGAAAATTCAGTAACTTCTTTTCTTTTTGTTCAGCCAGCTAAAGGGTAAACAAAATGGGAAATGATTAAGACCTCCGGGCCTACTTAGTAACTTGTAGAACTTGAATAATAATTGTACAAAAAATCTTAAATATGTACAACTTCTCGATGATCATGCGTATTGTGAAACATTTGGATGGAAGTAAAACATAGCAAAAAGAAGCGATAATTAAAAGACTACTGGTATACCACTGGCATGCAAATTTGCCAGTGACGTACCTAAGATGCTTTAAACATACGACAGGTTTGTTTTATGGTGACCTCTCTTAAATGAATTTTAACAGTTTCTGAAGACACCAACTTGCCCAGTAGGCTAGGCCAAGGCGGAATCGCATTCTAGTGAGCTATTTGTCGTTCATTTCAAAAGCTATAAGTTTGGTTTTGCAGGTGATAGACGTGTTTACGTTGGATGAGTGTCTCAAGACTTCATACACGCGATTTCACACGTTATTACATAACTTTCCAAAAAATCACAAGATCATCTTTATGATCAAACATGTGACTGGATGATGACAAGTTGTCTTTGACCTTCCATAGTGTAATAATCATCAGTAAGCAATATTTGATAATGACGTCATTATTATGCTCATTATGTTACTGTGAACTTTTACTCCGATGTGTGCACATTATAGACCGCTGGAAAATCGTATTCATATTCATAAGAGAAGTGTTGAGTTCTATTTTGGTTATGGTATGGGTAATTCAAACCCTCATCAGTAAACGAATAAGCTTTGGCAAGTGGCGATTTGACTTAAGTTGCTCATATCGATAAACCTAGTTTGCAATCAGAGAACGACCTGGCAACGAAATGAATCCAGGTCTGTTAGAATTTTTTGTTAATGATGTAAATTAATATCAGATCAGTGGAATTAACAACCAAGTTGGTAATAATGTAAATTACATCTATGTTGACGCATGGTTGACGCGATTGTCTGAACCGATTGCCTGACGTCATACTAATGTAAGCCTTCCATTGGTGGACTTTAAATCAATTTTATCATCATATACACAAAATAAACCATAAATATATTGACCTAAACTATTATTAAATTATATGATATGATGAAGAAGAAGATACTGGCTAGTGGCGGCGCCAGGATTTTTCTGACGGTGTCCATGTTCCCCGACTGGGGTGCTGATGCCTCCGACGAGAAAAAAATTGGGCGTGGTCGAGCGTCGCTAAAAACCCTTCGAAAGTGGTGCAGGGGACGTAGCTCCCCGAAAATATGACAATTTAAGGGTCTCAAAGGTTAATTTAATCGATTTTAGAGCCTATTAATATGTATAAAATAGGCTACATATAATTTTTTTTAATTTCCCCCTCCCCCCGACTATTTGTGGTTTTTCTCCCCGATAGGGTGGGGGGAGGACTCCACGAAGGGGGGGGGGGATCTGTATCCCCCCCGTAGCGCAGCCACTTACACTTGTTCGTTAGCAGACTTGGCGGTGGATACGTGTGAATTATGATGATAAGTGATAGTGAAAGTGTTTTTTGATATTAAAGTACCGGTAATTATACAAAAATAACATTCTCTAATTGACAATCCTTGGCCGATGAGCATATATATAAATGAATTATTGAATGAATGATGAGTAAGTACGTTGTTTCGGAAAGTATTAAAAGGGTGTGTTTCCGTTACCGTGACAACATGATGGAGGAGATTCATTCGCGGTTTATTCGCCCTGGTCTCCACCAGTTTCAGCAGTGAGGACATCTTAAACCCGTAAGCATTACCAGCATAACCTCCCTAAAAAAAGAGAAATATCAATTGAAATGAGTTATTATCTACAAAATATATACGTACCGTAATAAACGCGTGTGGGCTATCATTTAATTCCTATTGGTCAAAATGCGCACACGTCGATATGTTAATGGTGAGACTACGAACAAACGTATGAATATATACTTTTAAGTAACATACTGTATGTTACTTCTATTTTATTTTATAATTGTATAATACACCAATCAATATTTAAATATAATATGGATGACAAATTCTATAAAGACGATGATGACTTTGATGATGATGATGATGATGATGATGATGATGATGATGATGATGATGATGATGATGATTATATGATGATGATGATGATGATGATAATTAATGATGGTGACGGCGATGATATTATTGGTAATGGTGATCATGTTGGTAATAGTGATGATGAAGATGATGATGATGGTAATTTTAATGATTATAATGATGGCGATGATGATGATGATGAAAATGCACCCGTGTTACATCCCGTATCTGGGGTTTAATGAGGGAAGTTCTAGACTGCAATGAACTTACCGAATTTAGGAAGTTGCCTGTTAACAGTATCAGATACAATATTTCCTTTAGTGATTTGCACTTCAGAATCGCTACAGAGGAAGAAGAACTACAACATGTTAATTAATAAATAAAGAAATGTCATTTTAGCTTAATTTGCCATTAAGTGGTGTTTGCTTCAATTCATCTAAATGAACGAATGGGGAAGCATGCGGCGACACAGCGGTAAGGCTTGCATTTTCAGTAGTCTGCCTGACTACTGTACGTGGTTCATTCATTCCATGATGTCAAACTTTCCATAGCTGGCCAGAAAATTTGTTTATCCTTCTAATATTCAGGTTAACTTACATATACAAATTTCTAATATAAATTTTGGTGGATGTGTGTCTTTGATGTACCTCTATTTATTTATTTATCTATTTATCTATCTATTTATTTAGTTATTTATTTATTTACATATCTATTTATCTATTCAATGGACCTTGCACGAAAGGCAAGTATTTACTAAGGGCCCCACATCGGGACATGATTTCTTTCAGGTAGAGTAATTACAAAATGTCAACAATATTTGAAGGAAAACAATGTATAATTTAAATGACCCCCCCCCCCCCACGAACCTACAATTTACATTTATGAGCTCGATTTCACGAGGATACAGGTACAGGTGTGCTAAATATTCGTTTGGTCTTACCGAGGGATGCCTCGATGACTGTATCAAGAGATGGGTGAAGGTAATCAATATTTGCTTCGAATTCCGCCTTCAACAGCATGCACTCAATTCGCAGCTTATAGCTATGTAGAAACAACAATGTATTATAAAAAAAAAAGCTTTGTGACGTGTAAAAACACGTCTATAAATTGTTTAATTATGCAAAGCTGTATTATGACGTAACAATGTTGAAATATATTACTGAAATATTTAACTATTAATAAGACAAAATATATAAAGCTAATGAGTCTTGAGTAATTAATTCTTAAGATGTGCCAACCATCTGTTTGAACTCGTGTTCTATTCAAATTATTTATAACTTATTATTATTTCTTTTATTTAGAATATGACACGCCTTAGTTATACTCATTTAGATCACAAGAACCCAGTAACAATAAGTAGGCCTACACTAAACTAATCAAACTAACGTCGTGAAGGGAACGTAAGAAAGTTTCCAGGTACTTAAGGCCAACTCAGAAAGCGTCGTACGAAGCAGCCCGACGCGATTTGTTGTCGCGTCGGGTCTAGTTACGCAGACGCGATGGTGCGCGTCGGGTGGTGTGCGTTTTAATTTCTCACGACGGCTTAAGACTGTCCCCGACGATAAATCGGGTTGGGCTGCGTCGGCCGACGCTGTCTGAGTTGGCCTTTACGCGTGTGTACTTTGAATTGGCTGGGGGAAAATGGATAAATTATGACGTGTAACGTTTCTGTCAAGTCCCTAGTCTTAAATATCATTATTGTATACAAGAACTGGTCCAAGTACAGTTAAATTATAGGCTCTGTAGATATTTTGGACTAAAATTATACATATTGATTGAAATGGTCGTACTTACGATGGTATACTAAGCAACATGAGGTAGAACTTCTCAGCTGGGCCTAGCTTCTCGTGATCACCGTCAAATGATGTTAAAATCTCAATCTGAAAAAGTTATTGGGCAAAAATATACGCCATATCTTTAATTGTATGTAGCGCCGATATTATGCTCGGCCATTCGACTTGCCGTCAAGTTGATGGTGTTAAGGTTAAAGGTTTGTTGCTGGTGAAATACAGATGATACGGTAATAAAAATGATGATAATGATGATGTTTAACGATGATGAGGATAATAATTATATTTATGATTATGATGATGATGATGATTGTTATAATAATAACTATTATTATTATTATTATTATAAATTTATTTACGATTGTTATTATTATTATTATTATTATTATTATGACGTTAAATTTGCAGTGTTGCCAAATTAATATGATTAAAATTATCGAACTTACCTCATCAGAATCGGGTAAAACCTTTAGCAAGCCCTTTAATTTTTCTGTTCCAAATTCACCACTGTTTCCTTCATGTATAATTTGAATTATTTTCTCGTTGGTACTAGAAAAACAGTAATAAGCAACTGGTTAATCCAAACGTTGATTTACATTAAGAAATAAAAAAAGAAAGACTAATGGATAAAGTAACTCAGGTCTTATGAGCCATTTTTATTATACAGTTGCACGATAATATTTCACATCGATATCCAGAACAGCCTATAATTCAAGTAAATGTAGTTAAAGCCTTTTCCAGAAAATCAAATTTTATTTGACAAAAACACATGCCATGCCTAAATATGGTCATGATGACATAATCTTTAAAACACGTGCAACCCCTTCAGATACTAACTGGGGGGGGGGGGTATAATCATAATCATACAAAGACGCAATACGTTCACGTAATGATTGATTTTCAATTCGCATTGCGATGATAATGGACCCTGGCACATTCGTGTGATATTAGGGAGTTTTCGCAAGCTTAAAAAACATAACGGATACGGTTACGTCATCAAATTTTCAGACAGCCCTTCCCCTTACAGAAGCATGTCTGTGACAAAGGAGGCGATTCATGTCTTCTGCTTAAATCAAGGATCATATTCAGCTCATACAGAATATTTCCAATATTGATTTAGGCACTACGATAAAGATAATGGCGTAACCTATTCAGTATCGTTTTCTAAGGTTGCAAAATCTCCCTATTGAATACGAATAGCAACATCCTGAGGCGATTGATTGAATGTATTCGTAATCAGGGTCCTAAAATACATACATAAAAAAATAATTTACAAAAAAAATGACAGGATAAAAATTGCACAAAAACAAGGAAAAACCCAAACAGGGTAAAACTTATTTCCATTGGGGTCCTTGCAAACACAGGAATATAATTGCAAAGGTTAACATGGTGAAGAGAAAATCAAACACAGTTTAAAACGTAATTAAACAGATGACAAGATAACTGCAATAAAGAGATGAAAAAAAAAAAACCATCTAAAAAATGAGTTAAACATACTGCATAATTTCCTAAATTATGGCACTTTGAAAATAAGCAATTGTTTATTGAAAATTTATACATACTAAAAAGTTGATTAGTAGATCAGAAATAATTTTTTTCATTTAATTAACAAACGACTACATAACGGCCACATAAAGTATGTGCACCTCAGTATCAAATATGTTAACTCAAGTACAATGCTGTGCGTTTTTCGGACTGTCAACCAAACTTAACATCTGACCAATAAACGGTTATGATTACGCGCATGTCCCACATGGTTATGATTACGTGCATGTCCCACAACATTTTCGTACGCTGTTCGTTTTTATGTAGTAGCAATAAATGAAGGGGGAATAAGGGGGTGGTTTATTAACACATATGGGCTTGGGCTACAATTAATGCTTTGTTCGACACTATTACACTACAGTATAACTAGGCCTACCACTACGTTTAGTACTAGCAAACTAAACAAAAGATACTTACCTCCGAAATTGTTTCAAGAAAATGTTGACGTTTAAGCTTTTCCTACTATCCAATAAATTAATTTCTGTTGATTCTTTCTTTTTCTTGGGTTCTTCAATTTTTCCGTCCTTGCCTTTTTTCTCTCCTATTTTTTTCTGACAAAACAACGCCTCTACGTCCTCCCAATTTGCATTGATACCGTTTGATAGCTTAAGGGGAAAAATCAAAACAAAGTTACAAAGGCTTCGGAAAATTGTTCTCTACACTTTTGATTTCGAAAATAATATATTGTAGCTATGGTAACAAAACGCTCTCTTCATGTGACGTACACCAAGTTATAAAATTTTTAAAAAAATCTTATCAACTGTGTGGATAATAAAAGAAGAAATCAAAAACACGGATACCTGAAATAAAATGTCCGTTATAGGCCTAATCCAATAATCAGACAATAATAGTATCAACGACTTCTAATAGCCTATTGATAGCACGATAGCAAAGTCTTAAATGAACGCTTGTGGGACCATATCAATACTTATCACCACCAAACGAACGTGCGACCAGACATCATCAAGGTCGGCTGCCGTTTATAATTAACAAGCTTGCATTCGGAAATGAAAATCGTACAGGGATCGGCTATGCATGCTGTTTTCGTAGTAATACGCACGCGCGCAAAAGCATATACAAACCGAAGTCAAATTGATTTGCTTATTAAAGAGGCTTGAAGACGGAAGTCTACAGTAGTAATATTGAATGCCTTCGGGAAAAAGTATTAATAATATTATTATAATTCGTCTGTCTGGATGTCCTACCATGTGCCAACTATTATAAGATATCATTGGCCAGTGCACATTTTTATTACGTCACGTAAATACTGACGTCACTATACCAAACAATAGTCCCATGTGTGTTAAACGTCAGCTTTTGTTGAAGTCTACCATTATGGGGTGCCACAAACGTGGCATAGGCTTAGGCATAATACTTAAGATATTATACCTCCATGGTGAGACTACCAAATATGGAAGTAAAAATAAAGTAAAACAATATTAAATCATCAAAATACAAAACAAATCTATTACTCACCTTGTTGACTCGATTCCATATATTGTCAGTGGACGCTATTCTCTGTGGTGCTAATTTACTCCAGTTCAGTGTTTTCATTTTTGTTTTAGGCTTTGTTTCAGGTATGGCGCTTGCAACAGGGATATGCGTCTTCGCACCATGAAACGAAGGTGGATGAGGAACACCGGAACCTGGAACAGGTGGAGGTGGAGGTGGCATGCCTGGAAATCCTGGTGGCGGTGGAGGTGGCGGTGGGGCTCCAAAGCCAGAAGGTGGTGGTGGTGGGGAGGGTGCTGGAGGAGCAACATTTCCACCTGTAGGCACGTCTGCAGTTATCGGGGGAATGTTTGAATCGACATTTGGAGAAAGAGTATTACCCGTATTTAGTTTTGAATGACAGTTATCTACCGAGTTGCACGTCACATCCTTCACGTGATCATCGCTAACTTGTTTCAGTTCTAATATATTATTTCCATTTTCGTTTATTGCACTATTTAATTCACTATTGTTTTCGTTTGATTTGGTTTTCATCTCAGATCCGTCCACGACACTCAATATGTCAGCGTTTCTGTTTCCACTTCCCAGTCTACTACGACGGTGACGACACTCTTCACAGTGTGTGTTCTGTGCATGTGCGGGCGATTTCAACTCGCGCACAGCTTTGCGCAGATCATGATCACCTTGCGTGATGAGTTTTTCCGCGTGTTCTCGCCTGTCCAGTAATGTGGCCCGATGTACTAATTTCTCTATTGTTTTCCAAATGACGTCACTTAAAGTATCCTTTGGTTCGATTCGAAGTAGATGTTGGAGAATTGTGAGAAATATAGTCGCCTGTGGCGTGTCACACACCTGTAAAATAAGTAACACATTTTGAATCAAGTTCAAGAACCAGATATACGAACATATGAGTTATATAGGTAGCTCAATAATAATAATAATAATAATAATAATAATAATAATAATTATATAACGCTCAAGTTAAATAACGTTCAAGTTAAATAACAAAACCACTTATTTTGCGAACTAGCGCCCTCTCACTTAATCATCGAGCCCACCTCCTCCCCCTCCCCCTTCCACAAATCCATCTTCTACACCACCTCGCCTCAACCCCTCCCCCAACCCATTGTAATATTATTTAAAATTTATATTGTTTGTATTCTATTTGTGTATAAACCACATTTTAGAGTAAGCACGCCAACGAGGCAATTACCTTCAAGGAGTTCCCTCATTCAATTTGTTTTTAGCACCAGAAGTAATGTTATTTCCATGTTGAAACCGTTTATTGTTATTTATTCCAAGGATATGGGATCTCTTGAACGTGTTAAAAAGTTTATGGTTATACGGTTAGGCCACGTTATGCAACAGATTAACTATATTGCATCCATACTATGATCACGCCCTCAATGTATCAACAAGTTTAATGGCTTTTTTATTTAATGAATGTGTTTACTAATACAAAGAAATGTGGTGTATATTTAAAGTTTTGAAATTAAATAAGCCTGATGAAAAAATATTTAATATGTACCTATTGATGCCAATGACGTCATGGCGTTTCGCAAAGTCTAATGGTATAAGGTTAACATGAATCACTGTAAAATCATATTCACCTTATGCTACTTATATGACATGTTGTTGATTATATCTAAATAGATTGCCGCAAATAGCGCATTTTTAATTGAATTGAACTGAAATTTATTAGGTACACTCCAACACGCAAAAATTACAGAATGGTTGCACAAAATAAAAGTAAAAAAACTTGAAAAACTAAAAGATATACAGAGTGAATGGATATTGCAGGATGACCCATACAGATAGCAAATACTGGCTCAGTTTTAATGAGATTTCAAACAAGAATAAAGAACATTGATAAACAACAAACACGTTTAATAATTCAGGAGAAAATAGAAAGGTAAAAACATTTTAAGAAGAAAGTGAAAAAAGTTAAAAAATTGAAAATTAAAATAAAGTATTCAAGAAAGTTGAACATTTTTAAAGTTAAAAATATAAAAAGTAAAATCGAGAACTGAACCTATTACCCTTCGGATAACTCCTGAAATAGTACTGTGAATAACTATTTTATTTAGTACAGTATTTGGTAGATGGCTGAGTGTGTAGTCATACATGACGGATGTTCCCATACACATTGGCCATAGGTACGGTACAGAAGAAATGATGGCGTAGGTTTTCAATCTGCCTCCCCCCAACCAACGACAACTGTCTCAAGCTGAATTTATAACAAAAAACCGCGATGTATATTTAAACGCCCAATGGACCTACTATAACAATAACAACAACAATTTCAAACCAACACACATTTCATTCTATTGGTGAAACATTCCAGAGAAACCGAAGATAGAGAGCCGAAGGCGAGCACCGTTCCGAACTTGGACATCGTCGGCATGTTAGCTGTCACGAGGCCAAGGCCCTTGAAATTGATAACCGATTTATTTGGGGACATATTTAAAGACAACAATCATATGGAAATTAACAGCCTCAATTCATTTGACGGATGTCATTAAACAGTTCATGGAAGAACAAACAAGTTAATAATTTGGTTTCCGCTACTAATCAATAACGAATGTGCACCCGTAAATAAGTTAATATATGGCTAATAAAAAATACAATAGGAAAGAAGGATAGAAAAATAATTTTACATTGTGGTAGAAAATATTAAAATATGACAAATAAAGCAACCTTAGTAAAAATCATTACTGTACGGTCAGCAAGACCTTCAGCATGTTGGTTGACATCGACATTCTTAATAGGAATGCCTACACGCCTATCTCCAGTCCTTATGCAAGACACATTACGCCTATATATTATGTAGACCCTCTCTCTCTCTCTCTCTCTCCATCTCTCTCTACTAGGAGTATAAATGAGTACGGTATAGGCCTACTAGGAAGCAAAACATATTTTAAGGGAGGAATGGCTAACCAACACCCCCTCCCCTCTCCCCATCATTAAATTCTCCCAGACGCCAAGGACACTGTCTATACCTCGCAGGTCTGATGATTTCGTACATATGTTATGAATATGATCACAAGTTATTGAGCTGGGCCGGATCCATTAATTTTTAAACGGGGAGGGGGGAGGGGAACAACAGTTTCAGAATAGATAAGTGAGTAACACATAGCACTGATATGCATTGAAATTTTACAAATTTAATATCAAAATGGGGAGGCACTTTTCCCCGTGCCTCCCATACACCCTATTGGATCCGCCCCTGATTGTGTACGTACAGCCACCTACAGTTTAATTTTCAGATTTTATGGAGTAGGCCTATGCATTGCTATTATCGAATGGTGTCGTTTTATTACACGGTCAAAATATTATCGAAACTTAAACCTGGCCGCATGTAATAATTAATTCAACATGGCATTCTTAATTTCGGCTTTGGCATTTTGATTGTCTGCATAAAAATATCATCCCTTGTCACTGAATATCGTGGCTCCATCGTTTCGTATCGTAACAGAGTCCGGTATTCGTGACGCCAACCCGGCTAAAGAGTGACGACCGCAGAATTATCATCACAACTGCAGCTAATGAGCGCTAACTAACGTTCCGCGCTTAGAAATTTAGGCCTACTGGGTGGGAGGTCCGCTATCGTAATGAGTTGTTTCCTTCGGGGGCTGTGAGGCAACTGATCCTTGAGAAACACATCCACCCCAATCCCGGGTCGCAGCTGTGCCACATGACTGTCATTTACTCCAATTACGATAATTTCAAAATAATATTCCTGAAGGTTGTCTGTGCCCGAACTTCTAGGTAACGCACGTAAGGCAAAAATGGCCAGTCTATTTATAATGAAGGCTTAATTCGTCTTAATATTTATGGATATATTGTTATTGTCAAAATTTTGATTTATGGCCATGATAACGATTATATAATCCGGAAGTAAGTCAGATGTTACAATTTCGTTGTTTTTGGTAAAATTCAAGGATAGTGATTATTATTCCGTTCAGTTGCTTTTTGGGGTTCACGATGATGAACGCGCGGTCACGCACGATTACATAATAGTGCGAACTTGTTTCATTGACTCATCATGCGCGCAGCATGTGCGCAGTAGGCTCGTGGTCTCCAACTGCGCGAAATTTTCACACGGCTGATTTCGATAGTCGTGAGTGGTAGTCCGATACGAGTGGTTTATTATCGAAGAATACTGAAACAATTCAAACAACGGAATATGATCTTAGTTTGAAACATATTCCCATAACGTTGACACCTTTATATATAATTCGAAAATAGTATTTAGAAACGTGCGTTGAACAGCACTGAATTTGTTCTCACGATCCTGTAGATATTATTCCAACTTTCGAATTAAAATAGTATTACATTACAAATGTATATACAAAGTATATTGTCTAGAGTATGACCTAAATATATACAAAGTCTTTATTATTAGATAGTCTTATAGTCCTAGGCATAATATCTCGAAATCTGAAAACCGTCAGGCATCCATTTACACAACCAGGTGGTACCGTAATAATAATAATAATAAATAATAATAATAATAATAATAATAATAATAATAATAATAATAATAATAATAATATCATTATTATTATTATTATTATTATTATTATTATTATATTTTTCTTATTATTATTATTTTTCTTATTATTATTATTAATAATATCATTATCATTATCATCATCATTTTCATTATTATCATTATTATTATTATTATTATTATCATCATTATTATTAGAATCAAATTCATAATAATAATTATGTCCGGCATTGTCCAAAAAATAATTAGGCCTAGGCCAACATAAACACAGTGATTCATAAATCAGGGTCGGTCAGTCCCATTCTGTATTCACTGTAGGCCTCCTTGGCCCAATTTTAAGGTTCACTACCAAAACTACCCACCTCAAGCATATATTTACTTGGTGGATTGAACCCCACCCGAATCCCCAACCCCCCCACACACACAAACATCTCAAAGGTCGTCTAGAATAGACCATCTAAAAGGATGACACAAGTTATTAACTTCCACCGAGAAACAAATCGGAAAAAAGAAAGATTTTCATTGTTTCCATTGACCTACATTTTACTAAGAAACTCTTTAAATTGGTCACCATACAATTACCAGCCAATACGCAAAGAATACACGAAGGCCATAATAACCTTCAGTTAATTGACGGGGGTTTCTTTCTGATTATTTTTAACTGTATATAATAAACGTAATAAAATACACAAATAAATTTTCAATATTTTACTCTATGACTGACAGTACATCTTTAATAATTTGACACAGTGGAGATGGGCATGGCTGTATTGTATTAATTAATGGGAAGCGATTACTACTGATTATATCGTAATCTACACGTTTCCTACTACAGCAATAAATCACGGAATGATTGACTTATCAGCTGACGACGGATGTGAGTTTTCATTCAATAAACCATTAGGATAAGGTAACCTAATATGCAGCGGTGGCTCAAGAAATTTCCGATAGTGGGTACGAAATGTCCGACAGGGGTCCGAACCAAGGGTCCGACTAGAGTCTCGGTCAAGGACTAAAAAAATACTTGGAACCGTACCGGAATTTTAAAAAATAACGGGGACCGTACCCACCCAAGGACAGTTTTTATGTATGACCCAAATTGTGCTTTTACACCATAATATTAGGGATTAACAATAAATATAACATTATTTGGACAGGAAAATTATTATTTTTGGCCCGACGTCCCCGTCGTGGCGTCGGACGACGGAGGTGGGGGAGGGGAAGGAAATACCCTCCTTGCTATTGGCAGCATCTACTATCTCTCCAAGGAGCAGAGAAGGTAGCACTTTGTGCCACAGGCTTATGAAATGACCATGTTCAACAGCGGAGGTAAAAAATAGAGTTTAGCTAATGTTTAGAATAACCGAGATTGTTGTGTTGGCCATATGATGCAAAGCCCTAGTATAGATCATTGTTATTAATATTTTAATATAAGGCCTATCAATACAATCAATTTATGAGTAGGCCTTTCACAGTTAACTTGGATAAATTTTTACAAACATCATCTCCGTTCAATTTGCAAACAATAGGGGGCGTTTGCTTATAGCCATAGATTGTTTAGAACATTTTAGTTGGATGAGTCAGTTCATCCAAGAATGAAAATAATGATGCCAAATAGAACTAATTTTAGTATTGTTACTGCAAAAAAAGCATATAGACCAAATAGTAAAATCGTTGTGTACTTCAACCAAATCATTTAGGCCTACTGAGTTTTCATTGCTACAATGTATAGCATAGATAGGCGTATAATAAATATGAACAAAGAGATAAATAGTAATAACAGTGCTCAAAAAGAACATTATGGGTTTACAATCGTATAAATCATAGCCCTTCAACGAAAATTTTATAAAAAGTGTCGAACCAACTACAGCATCAAGGTCAGTCTCATAATTTAATATAACATTACATTTTTACAACAGTGGCAGCATACAAGAAAGTGGCGCAGTCAAAGTTAAACTAATGAACAAAGAGGAAAACAACAATTTAAAGCTAAACAAAAATTCAAGAACGTAACTAAAGAAAATACAATTTAGAGTTCAAATAAATCATAAACATCCCTCACCCTCCCCACACAAATAACGTACATAATATGCATACAGTAAACGTACACCCCACCAACCCAACGTCAGACAGTGACTTAAGGCCTATTATTGTATAGGCAAAGGCTAACCCCCCTGGTACCGGTACTGCACTTTCAACCACACAACTTAATTTAACTTACAAATACACTCACAAGGTTCAACATAATTTTCTCTGTATGGACCAATCTCAACAATTGGTGAATAGCTACAAGTCTAAAAATAACAGATATGTTTTTGCTATTAATCGAAAAGTAGGCCAAACTGCTCTAATGATCTGTGTACCTCGGGAAGTTTATAATCTTATTTTTTTCTTTCAATCGACAATAAGTTAATTAATTATTTTTATGATAAATAATTAATATTTAGAGAGTTTCCTATAGGCCTATTATTTTTGGTAGAAAACAAATGTTTAAAACAGACAAGAAAATAAATTAAACTTACCGAAGTTTGCTGAGAACGTCCAAAAGCTTCAGACCTGTAAAATCAGGATGAACAAGGATAAGCGTCATATTAAAAGTTATCTTTGCAAAAAAAATTATATATGCTAAATGAAATGCATCGTGTGAACGCGTCAATATATATCGTGTGAATGCGTCAAGAATGAGGACACCCTTGGTTGTATGGTATCATTCTGAGAGAATCCAGCGGCAGACATTTACGTCTTCCCGTGATCACAGTCTGTCTCCTTGTGGCCTAAGCTTGTGTTTTTCTTCCCTGGTCGTCAGTGTGTTTTGGTCGCCAGTACCTAATTGGTGATCGGTGCTCAGCGGGAGTGAAGCTGCCGAGGAATATGATATGAAACGAGGGCAGATGAACTTGGCGATCGTAGTACGCACTCGCCGTAGAGGTAAATTGTTGCATTGTGGTAACAAAGCTATGTGTTTTTACAGGTTAAAACAAGCAAATTATTGAGATCCTCCCTAGATATCACATAGTTCTTCATCTTAACGACTCTGATACGGTAACAGATTATTAGAATTCCACGAATTATCCGATGGGAACGGAACTAGATATAGAACGAAGAACAAAGTTGCAACAAAGGGAATCGTGGGTCATGCCGATTTCTGTTTTAAAGTTATTACTTTTCTAATTCCCATCTATCAATTACTGCGCATTGAGCACCGATTTTGGTGGTGATGTTTGCGCTTTACAAATCGTTGTTATTATTATATCATTACAGTACCATATATATATTTATATGTGGCCAAAAAACAGTAGCTGTTTTTAAATAAAGAATTTCTAACTTAAAGAGCCTGTTTTTTGGGGGTTTTTTTTAGTAGCTAGGATAGAAATTTGTTATTACTGTAATTTAGTCTCCCGATGGAATAAACAAAGAAGAGAAGGCCTGCTATATAAAGGCCGAATGAAATATTCATTACGTTTGGTTTTTTTTGGCATGACATGACTTTTGGCATGAAATGACTTTAACAAATGAGATTGCTTTGAAACGGCAAATTACGTAATTTCTTGACAGATTAGGTAATTTGTATTACAATTCTTATCCATGTTAGGATTCATATAGCACACTCTTCGAAAAAAAAACTAACAAATACTGAAGGCCTTCGAAGTATGTATTAAGTTGTCATCATCAATAGAGATATACCCTCCTCGAGCATATGCTCACATCAGCCGCTTTCGAAACCATATCTACGCTTTTGCACAGGGGATTAACTTAACCTAAAGACATAAATCAAAATCAGATAATAAACATTCAAAAGACACCTGTTATAGGCCTTGTGATACGACAGGGCTGTGGCAACAAATTAGGTATAGGCCTAGCCGTCCTTGCTTATCATAATTCTCTTTGTGCACGTGTAATTTCTTCATTCGATAGGAAAATAAAGTGAGTGACATTGAAGTAGGCCTATTATACTGAATTCATTGTGGGCCTAGGCCCGATTTCTACTCTGAGATAATTTACATTTGTGATGAAGTCCATCAAAGAATCATGATTCTTCATGAAGACATAAACCTATTTGTGTTCTGACCTTAAAACATGATCACCTGAAGCTGTCGTTGATGCTGTTGCGCTACGACATGCAATTGTTAGCATGTTTTATTTCCAAATTATATGTATGATCAGGGAGTAATTAACACACTTCCCTGTAGCAAAGAACAATCAATCGGAGAGAGGCCTAATAAACGTCCAAACCACAGCCTGTGGTAGGTAGGTCTTGTTGGCGTATTTATATCTCACATTTTTTTCTTTGGTAAATAATTAATTATTCGCTTATCGACATAAACAAAGATATTTGTTTCAGAGCTTTTGTTCGATATTCATCAGGCCTTAAACGTTCTATTATATCTATAATACGATTGAATAATGACTGTATAAAGACGTTCATTATTCGATTATATTGTGTAAAAAAACAAAGGAGTTTTTTCCATATTGTTCTTGACACAGATTTGCAAGTTGACAAGGTGATAGTCTGTCTGAAACACGTCAAGGGTAAGGAAATTGAACGTAGCCCAGACGAAGCATACCTTGTACTTTGTTGTCTTTGTTTTTTTTATTGTTTTCGGTGTTAAAATGGGTGAGAAAAGACGTACTGTGTACAGATTCATGCGCTGAACAAGCCGTCAAAAGGGCTAATTTCACACATACGTTAACAGACGAAAACAAGCACCAATCTCTTATTGGAGTGAAGATAAAGTCAGTGAAAATTTGGACAACGTTACCGATTGTTTTGGATAGAGTTGCTGACAATTAGCGGGTGTTCTGAATTTTAAAAGATAAAAGTAGCTAACTAAATAATAGTCACTAACTAAATAGTCCTATTTTTAAGTAAACAATAAGCAATTTAATCTGTACTGCATATCGGTATACGCCTAAATAATCAATACAGAGCATTTAGCAAATGCTTATGTGGAATTGCGGTGAACTCAAAACCAAAGCCAACTCCCATGTAGGGCCTACATAATTTTAATAATGTTCAGCGCTATGATCATAGTTGTAAAGCGCTTTATAAATAATAATAATAACTATTATTATTATTATTATTATTATTGTTGTTGTTGTTGCTAATATTATTATTATTATTATTATTATTATTATTATTATTATTATTATTATTATTATTATTATTAAAATGTTCAAATAAGGAAACGAAAACTCTAAATTGTACGCCTGTGAAATGAAGGGTTGTTGATACATACAAGGCAAATTGGCAAATTCGTTCATATCACGTAAACATGGTAAAACATCGTTGCGACTCGAAAGACGATTCCACGGGGAACAATGCCCTTGAACGGTCCACCATGTCTTGTCTACATTCATAATCAGTGAACATAAATTTATTGTTAATCACTCTTAGAGGTACATTGTTTGGAATCAGGAAATTAGGCCAAGGTACCCATTGGAATTTCGCCATTTATCGTCTGGCCTGGTTTCGCGAGTCTTCTGTCAATTTCGAAGCTGGCTCGCCTTATAAGGTCAACGACAGCATGAATGGACGTCTTGTGACAGCAGCCTATCAACACTACATCAATCATGGTAGAGAATGTGTTTGTGTCATTTGGTCCTCCAATTCATGGTTAATTAGACCGTTATCGCTTTAATTTTGTGTCGATAATATAACCATGATATAACCATGGAGGTTTAATTTGATACGTCCATGATAACGGTTGTCCGAGCGCAAGCTCGTGTGTGAGGGGCTGTAGGCCTATTACTTTGACGTTGACTTTTTGCCAGGCCAGTTAAAATAGGCATTAGTTGATACCATAGAGCAAAGCTCTATGTTGATACGTAGGCCATGGGAGGCCTAATACAATACTGTACCGTAAATGCTCGATTTAGCACTGCTCTCGAATAAGCGACGCAGCGCTTAATCAAGAGTTATATTACCCTGTGTGTAATGAAAGACTTTGAGAAACATAATTTTGAATACAATGTATACTGTTAAAATGCAATAAAACAAGGAAGATACAAGCATTTCTTTATAAACGTATATTTACGATGACATAGGACCTATATGATCGGCCTACTGAACTACGGGAATACGTAAGATCGGGCACGGAAAGCGCCACGCTAATGTTTTTATAAGCGCCGCTCTCGAATCTAGCGCCGCACTGAAATCCCCAAAATTGTATAAGCATGAGGAAGATGTAAAAATATTATTTTTACACCTCCCTCGTATAAGCGCCGCGCGGCGAATTTTATATATTATTTATGTTTGAATATCTGAAACATTTATTCACAATTTACAATCACCGTAATCACTATTTTCATCATCATTTATCTTATTATACTAGACAGGCCTATATCTATTGTATACATATTGAAGTGCTAGCCCGGCATGTACTTTAGTAATAAGAACAACAATAATAACAATAATAACAACAACAACAATAATAATAATAATAATAATAATAATAATAATAATAATTTAATTAAGTACTTTTGTATTTATTGACATTTCGAAACGTTTAGCTAATCAGGAGTAACCTATTATCATGCATTCCGTATTTTGATTATTTTAAAGAATCACTGCCCAACTTCGTAGTTCATTGACTCTGTTTTCATTGTAAATCGATCTCAGTTTGTTTTATCGGGACAAGTCGACGATGGACAACCAAAACAAGAAATGTAGCGAAAGGGAACGTTTCAAAAATGCGCAATTGAATTCAGGAGGAATAAAAACAACATAAATATTACAAGAAAACATTCCAGAGCTGGGTGATTCACTCACTAATTATTTACACTATGAAACGATGCGGTACAGCACGATTCGAACCGGAGGTTTTAGCTACCTGATTGATTCCAAACCGTAAGGAATTATACGTTTGAGCTCACCTACCTTTTGTCCGACTGGCGCGTCAACGCGAGTGGGCGTGGTCGAAATGATACGAAGTTTGGATTGCGCGAAATCTCTTCATCCGGAATTATTTCGAGTGTTTCGTTAGTCAATGTGCAATTCAGATTCAATTAGTATTTAAGACAAACTTTACAGTTTTCCTCACTATTGTAAGGTATTATTCAGCATATTTCTTTTGTGTTGTGAATTTTTCTAGTAACTTATACTATTCAAAGCGATGTATATAGGTGTCACGAGACAGTGGTGCAGGTCGCACCTCTGCCACCCCGCTTTCACGCCTCCAAAACTACCATATTCCATTTATAGGACCTGCTCCCTGGTAATTATAGCATAAAGTTACGAAAATCAGACCAAAGTACCAATACGAGATGTATGACAAGTCGTAAACGATGAAGTCCCAATTTGGCCTACGATAAGTGATTTACCCGTAACCCTTGCCACGTTTGCGCTCTACATGGATTTTGAAATCACACAGGTTCTTGTTTGTATTTTGGAAACTACAAAGCGGTTAGTTCGAAGTGCATGCAGTTCGCGGCACTTCTACCTGGGGCGGATGCAGGGGGTGCAGTGCGATCGCACCGCCCCTCCCCCCTCCTAAATTGTATTAAGAAGAATATTGCAATACAATATTGTGTGGACACTCACGGATCGCCTGCCGTCAAATTCTGCATCCGCCTTAGGTATGCCTACATTTATTCTCATCTCTGCCACACTAGTCCATATCCCATAATGTGTCTAAGAGGGCATTCTACAGACTGTCTCTTATACACATCAGATGTGTATAAGAGACAGCGATATTGCGCCGTAAACAAGGAAGTAAGTATTTTACTGTAAATCATTCGCTAACTATGGGAAAGTTCTGGAAGTATACAGCAGCCTACAACCATCGGCTGGTATTCATGTTGCAATTGGGAATAGCGATCAATTCTTTGTTTTGGGAACCGACAAAATTTGCCTAATTGGATATGACAAATTTGGGGTCAGCGACCTGGTTGGCCAATCCATGTTCGACACACATTTCACGACCAATAATTATGTCCTAACAATGATTTGACCAACCGTGGACTAACTGACCGAAGCGTTGTTTTCCCTGGAGCCAATAACATACTCTTAGATTTACCATAACCTAGCGGTCAGGCGTCTAAATTTAGCTCAAATTTCCCCTGTATCACACCCGATAGGCTAAGATCTCTGTGCTTAGCCATAGATAAATAATAGTTCTATAGCGTGCATTCGCCAAGGGTTCAAGACCCCGGTGTTTGTTCAGAACAATTTTTTGAGAAAGTAGAACAAAGCACCTCCCGCGTCTATCTATCGAACTCGTGGGTTGCTGTCTATTTCTAGCCTTCCTACATTGTGTCATGGATAGTTTCTTGATTGTGTCAATTTCGTTTGTGTACATATCGATCCACCTAAAAGAACAGTTAGGCTTATGAATATGATACAGTATTTACTCCATGAATATTCCCAGGGTAAAATATAGTGTGGTACCACTATTATAACATTTTCAAAAATTTTATTGAAAATAAGTTAAAATGGGCCTACAACGTAGATTTAGAATCATACACAACCTCGGTTACGGAACACGCCCATTAGTGTGTATGGGTTGGTGAAAGTGTACAAGGGATCAATAGCGAAACATGTGACAATTCGTTGTTGATATCGAATCGTAGTTTGGGTTGGTTGTTGCATGGTTGTTGGTTGTACAGTATAAATGATCTCGATGACAAAAATTTACAAAGTCAATGGTGATAATGACCACTGTGTGGTTGATAATGCAGATGTTGTTGACTGTGAAAATGATGATGATGATGATAATGATGATGATAATGCAACGAGATAACAACACCCTAGGGGGTTCGGGGGCATGCGCGAAATTTTTGTTTTCTAGACGCCCAAAAATAGCCTCTGGGGTGTTTTGGCCTATCAAATTCTTTTTCTTTGTTTCTTTTCTGTTTCTTTTTTCGACTCTTTATACACATCTAGGGGGGGGGGGGGGGCAGGGCCTTAACAATGATTATTGTTGTAGTGGAGATGATGAAGAAGAAAATGATGATGATGATTTTGATAATGCTGATAATGATGACGGTGGTGGTGGTCGTGAACATAATAAAGATGATGATAAATGGTGATGATGTCGATATATATAGACCTTATGTAATGTGTGAAAACGTGAAAAGTGTCAACTTTAGTAACCTCTTAAAAATGTACGAAAGTGTCTGTCAATTCTGTTTTGTGATGAAGTTCTCAGCATGCACCAACCACGAACGAAACCATTAAAAGTTTGGTAATGATATAAATATATCGTTTATGTCTTAGTCATAGCTCTGGTATCTAATTGTGTCAAACAAACAAATATTATTAATATTGTATATCGCTACTTATTAGCGATGTCTAGCCATCTAATTAAATGGGTATCTATTCGTGGAAGGTGTAAGCCACCCTTCGCTATTGTTCCATGAATAAGTGTTGTTTAGGTCACGGGGGAAAGGAGGCGCAAGCCTGGCGACAGCCGATGAGATCATTGCGGTCGAAGCTTGCGTATCACCCGCTTGGCCACCCCTGTTGCGAATCTAACCACGTACATTGGGTATGTTTCAAATAACCACTGCGGTTGGCGATAAATTGATACGTGAATGTACTTATAATCTGTCAGGTTTATTGTCTATGGCTAACTGCAAAACAAGCTGAAAGACTGTGGTTTGGAACCGTTCGGTTAAATATGTTATGATCTGTTGTTCATAGTTGTGATGACCTTAACGCGATTGTTATTGAGCCGTGATAATCAACTTGTATGTCAATCACGGCACGGAAAGTAATTATTCTCCATCAATTAACGAGTTCAAACACTAATTCGCTCGTCCCAATATCCATTCTAGAGAGGGCATTCTACAGACCAAATCTACGAAGATGACGAATATCAATTTGGTGTTGTAATGTGAAACACATTTTTCTACAAAATGGATACCTTTAACGCATTCCTCTCGAGAAAATAGAATGCTAGAACGTCATTAGACAGAGCGCGCGTCAATTTCCAGATCAGGCAAAGTTTGTCTAGTGCAAAACAATCAATCTAATTTCCAGATCTAACAAGAAACTTTTAAAAACACAATCTGAACAAATTTAGAAATACTTATTGTGTTATTGATGCTGCAAAAGATGAAAACGGATGATACAAAGAGGTGCATGAATGAGTTGTATAGACTGTGCACCCCATATTTTTGGTAAAAAATAATTTCTTGTAAAGTTTATTAAAAAAAAATACACTCTAGAAAATAAACATCAATGAAATAGGCCTACAACCCAAATTAACGAAGGTGCTAGAGGGTTAAGGCTCTGCCCGCACATTCACCCCTCCCCCTTTCTTAACGGGCTGGGTCCACTCCTGGTAGTAATTACTCTTTGAACAAATGTGGTCTTCCTCTGAAAAATCGTGTGTGGATCGCAACATTGTCGCAAAATGGAAATCTCTTCGGTAATATAGAACTTACCTATAAATTCATTTCTCAGTCTGACTCTCTGCTCGATATCTTCAGTTGCTATAAGAATACAATTAATAAAAGCAACTATCGTGGTCTTATAAGTTAACGCCTCTGCTAAGTCTAATTCATCTACGATAAAACTGAATCGATACCGACAATCATTTGTTTCCTAAAAGATAAAATGGTTTGAAAGCCGTGTTAAGAAATACCGGTACAAATTATTAGGCATGCAATTTATAATTTATATACATTACTATAGTACTCATCAATTTTGCCCACACGAAGAAAAGAATTACGTTACTCATTAGTAGCCATTGGTGGGTAGCCAAAATATGTATTCGTTGCTATATACACACTTCGTTTCTGTGCTGGTTTCACACGGCGGTAAAACACCTTATTCACCTGACACATACAATCATCAAACGCAGTCAGTGTAAATATGTGTATGCGTTGTTCTGTGTATTATTTATATAATTATCAATTAATTTATTGTGTAGTGTAAATTGATAGTTTTTTCATGTATTCACCGAGGTGGGGGTTATTACTTTGAAGTGTTTGTAAGGTAGAACTTGGAAAAACTGAAATCTTGTTGAACACGCCCCCGTGGGAGTACACAAACTTTAATGGGCGTTGGGGGCGCTATTACAAAAACTGAATCTGAACCATAGAGCTATTAAACAACTAGAGTGCTGACAAGATGGCGATTGCAGAGTTGAGTATGTGTACCATCCAAGATGGCCGCCGGAGGAAATTGCCACCTTCAGGCTTAGTATACATATTATTACCATAAATAAGCCCTCTGACTGACTATTATTTCATTAATGATAATTAGTATTGATATTAACAAATTATCGTAGCCAAAAAGAGGCCAAGTAGAGCATCTTATTAAAAAAAAAAAAAAAAAAAATTAAATCGTGTACATTACACCCATAGACCGCAACGCTCGAATTTCAAACATACGGGTAACTAGCTCTCTGAACTTTCTGTGTAAATTGAGGGCGCCATTAAAAATAATAGTGCTTACCCGAAATTTGATTGGCTGAATCTATTGCAGCCATCTTGGATGGTACACACACACAGCTCTGCGTATTTCGAAAATCGAATACATTGCAGTTAGCGCTCTAGTATTCTTATTAAGGCTACGTTCAGACCTGTGAGATACGCCAGGCGTATCTAACGCCGGGCGCACGTTAATCCATGGCGTAACTAGCGAGATGTCCAGACTGGGCGATTAA